AGCTTTAGAGAAAAAAAATTTCATGGTCAAAAGTATTCATAATATCATAAATAGAGAACGTATCCCACAACCACTATATGAAATTGAGTTGAATTATGACGAAAGCAAGCTTAAAAAAATGTGAAGTTCACTCGATATATTCTTTACAATATCTACTTCATAGAAAAATTAGCGTTGAGCAGTCGCATAAGCAAAGAGAACCAGTTCAATGCCTAAATTGTAACGAGTATGACCACACTAAGACCATTGTAAACTCAATAGTGTATGTGTTACTTGTTCAGATTTGCACTCCACGGAAAGTTGTCCAAAATGCAAACAAGATGTAGAAGCCAAGATTTGCTCGAACTGCAAAGGCAATCATACAGCCAACTAAAAAGCAAAAAATGACCGTAGCCAAATATAAGCCTAATCCTATCCCTAATATTAACTCTGCCGACCAACTATTGGTGAAGGAGAAATTTGTCTTCGTGGACAACGACGAGATGGCCGACTACTATGTTTGGCTGATGCGAGTTCCATTTGGTTTTTGCTTGCAAACTGAGTACATAATCCGTGGATCAGTCCCGCCAGAATTTGCGTTTGAGCTCGCACAGTAGACGCCAACTCCATGCATAATTCAGATAGTTGTATTGCACGTCGAACATTGATTCTTGCAGCATCGTGCTCAGAGTGTAGTGGCATATTAACCATGACTACACACAATACGTTGTGTGCGATATTTAATGTGTCACACCCGAAACACTCAAATATCAAGCATGACCGAAAAACCCTAATTGTCAAATATGAAATAATTTAATTTATGAGTCAGAAATTTGACTCGTCTGTTTTGTCATTTCTTTATGACAAAATATTTGTATGCATATTTAATAGTTCCAATATGCATTTGACAATTTGGATTGCGGCATGCTCAGCACATGAATTTGTGTTAAGTGTTTCACAGATCATATTGCAAACAATTGTGCATGCAATATGATTCGCCCTCAATACAGTTGGTTAACAGATATGTGCCACTGTGAAATAGAAGACCATTATAACTAATAAATGTATATAAGATATTTTTATAAAACATTATATACGTCTAAATTGGGTTAACCAATTAGACGGAAGTAATTCAAGTATTAACCAATAGAATCATTATATAAGATTCTATTGGAAATTAGTTGTAAAAAACTATGTTAGGTTTAAGAAGTAAATTAAAATAAAAATCAGTCTGGAAATGACGAGCAAAAAATAAAGTCGTTTTTATTAGTGAATATAATAATCTAACCACCAAATAACTAAAATCATATTATTACAAGAGATTCCCCTATCAGTAGGTGTGCTGGTGTTAGCGCTTGACCGTTGTTTAGATCTTGGCTGAGAGGTTCGATTGCTCTTGAATTGAGTTTGGTTTTAACCTGGATTACTAATATTTGAAACTCTTCGTTGGTAAACACTGCGCTGCCCGCTGTTCTTAGTAAAAGATGTTCCGCGAACTTGACGGTGGCTTTCTCTTGTGCGGCATATGACACCAGCTTGTCTTTCTGCGTTTTGAACTTTCAGCCTTGGCTCTTTCTCTTTTGATTCAGCTCTCTTTCAACTCTCGAGAGCCACAAAATTCGTTCCTTTTAAGATAAAAAATAAAACAATTAGAGGGTAGGATTATCCTACTTAATTTAATTTTATTTATTTATAAAAACAAACCGTCAAAAGAATGACAACCTTCTTTTTACTCAATAAAAAATATCATTAGTTTTTCAAAAATTTTCTTTTCATGACCAACTCATCTTATTTTCAATAATTCATTTGTCCGAATTTGCATGGCCAACCTAGATCATGTGAATATGCAACCGCCACATCACTCCCCTGGCAGTGACTGAGTCATGTACGATGTCACGTTAAGTCAAATTTAACATATCTTCTTGGAACCTGCACTAACCGTCCCTTTCGTGTTACATTACTTGGTTTGGTATCCATTCGAGTATCTGCCATATTTTCTGTACGTGATGGGCTTACGTCTTCATTGTCACTTGATAAAAATGCTGCCTTTACCCGATTAACACTCACCCGCACCGGTTTTCCTTTGATTAGAAGATCATATGTCTTGTCTGAACGCCTCACAACCTTAAATGGCCCATCGTATGGTGTTTTTAATGGTGGGCGGACACTATCATCCCTCAAAAACACGTGAGTAGCATGTTATAGTTCCTTCTGTAAGAATACCTTCTCATTTGAGTGATTTGATGTAGGTACTGATCGTATTTGAGACATCATCTGTCTCATGTTTTCCACGAATTCATGTTCTGGGATTTTGTCATTATTACCTTGCTCCAGAAAATCGCTCGGTAACCGCAGAGTTGTTCCATATACCATTTCTGCTGGAGTGGCTTTAAGGTCTTCTTTAAAGATATTTCGAAGCGCTAACACAATCAAAGGTATTGCATCAGACCATTGATGTTCATGCTTACATTTCATTGCAGTTTTCAGAGTCCGATGAAAACGTTCAATCAAACCATTTGCTTGAGGATGACGTGGACTAGTTCGGATATGTTTGGCACCAATGAGTTTCGCTAATTCATTAAACAGTGCTGACTCGAACTGTCTTCCTTGATCTGTTATGATCTGCTTCGGAACGCCAAAGTGCATGATCCAACCATTGATGAGCGCTGTGGCTACCGTACTGGCATGTATATCCTCGATAGGGACTACCGCTGGCCATCTGGTAAACCGATCGATACATGTAAGGCAATATCGGTAACCGTTTGACGATGGTAGAGGCCCAATGAGGTCAATGTGGATTACAGCGAACCGCTCACTTGGTACGTCAAAATTCAAAATTGCTGATCTATTATGTTGCGTGACTTTTGCTCGTTGGCACGGAAGACATAATTTAACACGCTCCGCAATGTCTTTTGCCATGCCCGGCCATACGAAACGTTCTGCTATTTGCTTAATAGTGGCTCGCCGACCAGCATGTGCTAAATTATGTATTGAATTAAAGACGCGTTGTCTAAACTGCTCAGTTACAAAAGGACGCACACGATTTGATGATACATCACATGCAATTTCCTTAGATGAATTTGGAATGAGTATCCATTTCAGTTGAAGTGCAGATTTATTCGTTTTAGACAGAAAACCATTTGTTTCAATGTCGGTTTTCTGGCTTTCTGCTAATTGATCAAAGTCAACTAAATCTTCATTGCTGACAGCTTCGATACGTGACAGAAAATCAGCTACCGGATTATTCTTACCAGCTATATGCATAATGTCAGTTGTGAATTGACCGATGTAATCTAAATGTCTTAGTTGGCGTGGCGATGCCTTTTCCGGTTTCTGTCGAAATGCATACGTTATCGGCTTATGATCAGTGAAAATAGTGCAACGTCTACCTTCAATCGCATGTTTGAAATATTTAACCGATTGGTAAATCGCGAGCAACTCACGGTCGTACGTGCTGTACTTGACTTGAGTATTCGTCAACCGCTTTGAGTAAAACCCCAAAGGCTCGAGTTGTCCATTATTGATTTGATTTAATGCAGCGCCAACAGCTACGTTACTGGCATCCACGTGAAGTACAAGGTTTGCGTCTGGAATTGGATGAACGATTGTTGTTGCATTAATTAAGGCTTCTTTGTATTCCGCAAATGCGTTATCTGCATCCGCGGTCCATTCAATAACAGTTTTGTCCTGTTTTTTGTTACCCTTAATTAAGTTCTGAAGCCGTCCCTGGATCTCCGCCGCTTTTGGAATAAAACGTCGATAAAAATTGATAATTGCAATGAATCGCCGTAGCTCATGCACTACCTTTGGTTTTGGAAAATTTGCAATCGTCTCAATTTTCTTGCCTGGGGGACGAATTCCTTTATGATTAATGAGATGACCAAGAAATGTTACTTCTTGCTCTGCGAACACACATTTTGCAATGTTTATTTTCAAACCATGTTCCTGGAGACGTTGTAGCACGCTGCGCACATGTTGTATGTGCTCGTCTATGTTATCGGATGCGATGCAAATATCATCAATATAACATATAGCAAACTTAAGTCCGAAAAGAACTTGGTCCATGAACCTTTGAAATGATTGTGCTGCATTACAAAGTCCAAAAGTCATCACATTAAATTCGTATAGGCCGAAAGGTGTAATTATTGCTGTTTTTTCTCTATCCTCTTCAGCAACCGGTATATTAAAGTACGCCTTTTCTAAATCCAACGTTGTAAAAATGCGTTTTCCATTTAGCGAATGCGTGAAATCTTGCATGTGTGGAATAGGATAGCGGTCAGGAACTGTTTGGGCATTAAGTCGACGGTAATCGCCACAAGGTCGCCACAAGCCATTTCCTTTTTGCACCATATTTAGTGGACTCGCCCATTCGCTCTTGGATGGTCTACAAATTCCTTGTTTCAACATATACTCGAACTCCTGCCTGGCTGCTTGCAGTTTTTGCGGATTTAGCCGCCGTACACGCGAAAAAACAGGCTGACCAGTAGTGATAATCTGGTGACGAACCGTAGTCTTAGGCTCGTTATTGTAGTTATATGAAACAGGCATTGTCACCTCCTTGAATGAGTTTAGAAGCTCTTTGAATTTGTGGTCATTCTGAATGGAAAAGACTGGCTCATATCCAGTGTGTTCCGATGCACATTGGGTACTCAACTTTGTTTGCGTATCGCTCAGGCATCTACGTTTTACATCTACCACAAGACCGTAATGTTTCAAGAAATCGGCACCCAAAATTGGTTTTGAAACATTGGCGATTATAAAATTCCAATCAAACTTCCTACGAAGGCCCAAGTTCATTGATAGCAACTTGTTCCCGTAGGTTGGAATAGCCGAACCATTCGCTGCATACAATGATCGCGATGTTGATTGTAGCTTGGAGTTTTTGAATCGAGACACTGGTAGTATTGAGAAATCAGCTCCAGTATCTATCAGGAACTTGAATTGTGTGTTTCGATCCGTGATGAACAGGCGGCTAGACGTATTTACAAATTGGACTTCATCGGCCGCCACCGATGAAGTCTTTATTGGTTTCCCTGTTGATTGAAACTACACGGCAAGGAACATTTTTTTGCTTCCACACCGAAACGATAGTGATAGTAACACATAGGATAACGTTTTACTTGTGAATCAGTACGGGTTGAATGATGTCGCTTGCGATCTGGAGTTTGAGATCTTGTTCTGCTTCGTCTTTGTGCAGTTTTTAATTCCGCAACCTGCTTACTCAAGGCGTCTATGGCTTTCATGATATGATCATTATTCTGTGCAGATGTGTTGATAACAGCTACAGAATTGTAGTTTCCCATTTCCAACATCAGACCTGCCTGCTGCGCACATTTGTCCAAGTCAGCCTCCGAAATTGAAACGACTGCTCGCACTGCTTCAGGCAAACGATCCAGCCACAATTGTTTTATTGCTCCATCATTCATGGCGCCGCTGGCTAAATCTCGCATGGTGCGCAACAAATGTGTTGGCTTGCTATCACCTAACTGGCACTCCTGAACTAGTCGCCGCAGTTTTCGATTTTCGGAGTCTGCAAAGTCTTGAATTAATCGCTTCTTAACCGCTTCGTATTTTTCTACAGCAGGGGAGCACGAACAATGTCCGCGATATTTCTTAAGGTAGCGCTGTCAAGACTGCCGACTACATGATCATATTTGGTTTGGTCAGTTGTAATTCCTGCGTTTCTGAATTGTGATTCCATCTGGATGAAGTAGAGGTCTGGATCCCTCTTACAGAATGCTGGTGCTTTGATTCCGATACGACAAATGTCACCTCGAGGTTGTTCGTTTCTGTAATCATTTGATACATTACAATCTGCAGGAATGTTATTTCTATCCAGTGCGCTATTGTTGCTTGGTTCTACTTGCGACATTTTGCTCACGTCAGGGTCACCAATTGTAGGATTATCCTACTTAATTTAATTTTATTTATTTATAAAAACAAACCGTCAAAAGAATGACAACCTTCTTTTTACTCAATAAAAATATCATTAGTTTTTTAAAAATTTTCTTTTCATGACCAACTCATCTTATTTTCAATAATTCATTTGTCCGAATTTGCATGGCCAACCTAGATCATGTGAATATGCAACCGCCACAAGAGGTTAAATCAGATATTAGTTCAAAATATACAACTTTAGACGTGAAGCAAACAAAAACGGCGATATATCTTTTAACTGTATTTTTAGTGTTGTGTATATGAGACCACAGGTCAAAACTTGAAATTAAGAAAGGACGTATTGCTGTAACTCGAACAATAGGTAAATTTCCCATTATTTGAGTTAGAAGTTAGGGGTTAATGGCGAAAACAATGATTGCAAGTTTTTACAATTTTACTGCAAGCTGCTTTCGTGTTAACATGCCATATATTTTAACGTAAAATTGATACTAATACCTTAGGACCGGCATGACAATTGTTTAAGTGCAAATACCTTAAATAAATATTAATAAAATCGCAATTTTTTAGCATGAGAAGTGGAACCTTGGTATCATAACTAATTGGAGCAACCGCTCAATGTATGCCGGACTTTAACAGCTGTTTCTTAATCAATGCACACATCTCATCTTGAAATGCATCTTTTTGAACCTGTTCCACGATTTCTCAGAAAGTACTATTCAATTCTTTAGCACTTGAGACTTGTGATGTCTCTTATTCACAATTACTTGCGCGATTTTTGAATCAAACTATATACGCAAATATTGATCCGAGATATTTCGTCGATGTTGTTATGGAATACTAGACGGATTCTGTTCCACAACTTAGCAAGCAAATGTGCAGTGCATAACTCCAACCGTGGTAAAGATTTTGTTTTCAGTGAAGCAAATTTTTATTTAGCAGTAAGCAAGTCACACTTGAAGCCATTTGATATTTCACTGATAAATTAGCGAAACCATGAATTTAGCATTTAACGTTAAAATGAAAATTTACATACCAAGGAATGGAAATTAAATCTAGTTGTTTCAAAACGATTTTAAAAACCTGTCAAGCACTGTCATAATGCATAGGTATGGATTCATCCCAGTCGAGTTTCTGTAACCACAGTTCAATAACTTGCAATAAAATGTTTGCTTTCACAATGATTGAAAGGTTGATAGGTCTTCAATTCTTCGGTACGGTACATTTTAGTAATGTAGAAACGAATGTTCTCGAAGAAGCATCGAAGACTACACGAAGTTTTGTAGATGTACTTTGTGGTCTTAATACGCATTGATGTGGTATGAAGTAGTTAGGAGATACAGAAGTTATGAGTTGCTAAAGTTATGTGATCTAGATTTATATATGTTCTTTCACAAAATCCATATATAAATCATGCAGAGCAACATTTTTTGAAAGTCTGCACTCTAGTGACAAAAAAGGATGATAAGCTGTCTCAAATGACAGGACAAGATTGCTGGAATCAAACCTTGAATCGACACGATGGAAAGCGTTGCACTTATGAAAAGAATTTATTCTTGCAAAGTTTGTGATCAAGTGTAAGTTTGGAGGTTTTGCATTATTAGAAATTTCTTCAAGTTCCAGAGATATTTGCAATATCGAACGTATTACAGTGTTATCATCTTGTGACACAGTTGAAGCATTAGCATGAGGTTCAATAATTCTATTGCCTTGATATTTTCCAGACACAGTCTAGCCGAGTAATGTTTTCTGCAGCGTGGGGACATTTGGGCTTTGTTTTATCTGTCCGACTGATAGTAGTTCAAAAAATGTTTCGACTCAAGAAGAATATCGATTCTTTGTGAATTGTAAAAAATATGTCACCAAGCTCAATGGTTGCCGGAATTTTCCAACTGGCTATGGAGATATTATGGTCTCACAGTAGCATGTAACTTATGCTTTACTGAGGTGCTTATCTTATCAATCCCACTTAAATTAAGGTTTCCCTCTTCCCTTTTTATCTGTAACAGTTGTGCAAGTTCCTCGATCATGAAATTTGTTTGAGAACCAGAGTCAAGTCAGGCTGTTCGGTATTCTCCAGACTTACTCTTTACAGTAACTAGTGCAGTAGTCAATATTACCTGTTCACTAGTGGTAATACTATGATTTACAAGTGCGCGATCAGAATCAGAACTTACAGTTGCGTGAGGGATGATCGGAGGGTGTTTGTGCAGCAGTGTGCGATATTGTCCCGTACACACTCTGCAGCGTGATGATTTATATGCAGAACCGGAATGCCCTTTTTTTAAAAAATTTATGCTACTGACACAGGCAATTCAGCAACTGCTGTACACTTAGTTATCGCGAGGCTATTAGATATGCAATATAAGCATGTGGCATCATTGGATTGTATTACCTTGTTGCATATGAATGAAGAGTTGAAGTTGCGTTTGTCCCGTTTAACATTGGGTTTTTGGTTACAATATGGCACTGATTTTTTGTATTTTGTGGAAGAGGTTTTGTCAGCTGAGAGATGTTGGAATCTCTTATTTAGCGCTGCTTCACAGTCACTCCATAATGGCAAAGTGTGTAGTCCAGCTGTAGTTTCCATTTCAATTTTGTGACTAAATCTTGCTTCTACATGACTAAATGAATAAGAATTGCGTTAGTGACATCCTAACCATGTCCTATTGATAGAAAGGAGTTATAAATAGTAGAAACGGAATGAATTAAAGTGCGTAAAGTTGCAGCTGTTGGTTTATGCATTACTGGGAGATCGAACAATTTACTAATGTTATCGGAAAAAATAAGGCAATTGTTGTCATATTCTTTCATTAGGCTGGCTAACGCTTTTAGATAATTGCTCTCAGTGACTTGGAAGGTATTTACAGTACCCAGAGCTTCATCTGACAAACATGACAGTAAATGGTTGAATTGTTTGATGTCCGTAACAGTTTCATCACTATAGGCTTCCAAGTAAACTAATGAAATTTTTATACTCAAAATATTTGTCACTAAACTTTGGTAATCGCATGTTTGGCAACTTCGATTGCGGTCGACCAATGCGATGGTTCTTTAACTTTTGCAAGAACAGAGATTTTGTTGAAACACAAATATTTTCTAGAACAGCCCTATAATCGTCAGTAGAAATCAGGTCAAATATTTTGCTCTGATATTGCATCGTTTTATCAATGTAAAAATCAAGTATCTCTAGTCTACACTCTAACTCACTAGGACCTTTTGAAACATTTCCTTCTAGTAAATTCGCTTTTATCCTCAAAATGTCAGCAATTACTGCTTCTCGATTGTGTACCAAGATATCTACTCCCTTATTGAATTGCAGTGACTATGATCGTTTTTTAATAGTCATTTCAGAAATTTGGACTTGATAATTCAAATAATCCCAAAAGTAAAAGAAGAGCAATTTTTTTGTAGACTAAATAAATTAACTTGCTTCTCGTTAAGCTGTCATTGCATTTAATAAATGTATGGGGATAAAATGTCAATGATATATATCTTACATTTTATTAATAAAAACATGCATATGTTTACTTGTATTTAATTTTTTTTAAAAACGTTAAGCTTGCGGTGCTGTTTACAGCAATAATTAAATTTTAATTAAGCACTGTACGTCAGCTACACTTTTATTACCTGGCAATCCCTTGGCGTCCTATTGCAGCAACAGTCCATTGATTCCAATGAAGGGATATTTTTTAATAATTTTGTTAATAGCCAATTGCACCAATATGTGTGATTCCAACGAGGTTACTAGTATATCAACAGTAGTTCGGATTGCAGAACCAGTACCGTTGTGATGCAACAAAAGCTTGGTCTGCTATGCACATTTACTTCTATAAGCACCGATGGTGGCGTCGAACGCGGAACGGGGAACTGCAGTTGCGGTACCAGTGCCGTTTATGTTATTGATGAAACGTCGTCTGTGATACACCGTTGCGACAGCGGTGGTAACGAAAAGGGCAAAACGATGAATTTGCGTTGCAGTACCTATACCGTTTATGTTATTGAAGAAACATGGTCCGCTTTAACCGTTGCGGCCTTGGGCAATGGTGGTGACGAAAACGGCAAAACGGTGAATTTGCGTTCGGTACCAGTACCGTTTGTATATTGAAGAAAGCTGTCCGCGAAAAACCAACAAAGAAACACTCACCAAACAAAAAAATTTTAAAATAGTTCCTGCTCGGACGCCATGAAGAACTTTTAATGAATTTTAAAAGTAAAAAAAAAACAGTTTTTTTAATATTTGTAAAACTTTCGATAACTTTCTATATTATTTAAAAAAAAATTAATTTATTGACTGCTGTTTACTATACTTTCGATCACTTTCTTTATAATTTAAAAAAAATTCATTTATTGAATGCTGGTTACTTTACCACTTGCGCATGTCAATCGTATTCGAAGCCGAGTAAAAAAATAAGAAATAAGAATGAGCAAAATTGCATTGCTCAAAACTTATTTATAAAAGACCAAAGCACGGGTTGCCATGTAGTAATTAATTATTGATGAGTTTTATCGGTTAAAGTACGCAAGTGGTGAATGGAGATTAATGTATTAATATTAGTTCATAACTTTCCAGACTGTAATTTTATATTTGTGTATAAAATGGTTTTAAAGCAGAAACAAGTTTCAACATAAATGTGTAATAACAATTCTTGAGCCAGAAGATTTTTTTATTAAATTGGATCTTACGCATAAGTTGATTGCGTGGATTTCACCTTGGAACACACTCGGCCATGTGCCCATTGCCTCCGAAATCCGTATACACCAGCGCCGGTGCCTTCATCCATCTTTGATCCATCTGTGTACCAATTCAAACTTTTTGGGTCAACCTGTGACCCTCCGTTCTCCCACCTCAAATTTTTTGCCAAAACGATGGAGTTCTGTTGTTTAGTCTCCATCGCATTGATGAATTCTATGTGCTCCAAATATTTTTAATATTGTGCTATGACCATAGTCGAGACAACCCTTGTTCATGTGGAG